AGAAATACCTAGGAGGGTGAGGGGTTAGGCATGACCTCCAACATGTATATATAAAATGGTCTTAAAAATGATGAAACGTCACAAAACTACAATTCTTATGTCTGAAATATATCAAGTCAAACGAAAAACTAAACCAGAAATAAAAAAGAAAGCAAGAAAAAGCTGCCAGTAACACAAAGATAACGTCTCTTGGTCCGAAAAGAGTCCAGGCAAATAAAAAAGGGTCAGTATCACGGGAGTGCGGATGTTCCCAAAAGCAACAAAATGCACTTATTTAGCTTTGAATGAATCGTACAGTGATTAAAGTCCCACGGGAAACGTATCAATCTGCTGAAAATTAGCAAGGTAGGTAGATCGTGTGGCCTAAAATGTGCACATAAACATGGGCGTATTAGTGGTGTGTTATTGCCAGAAATGAAGCTAACGTCTGGTCAAGTGTAGATTATGTACGTCTGCTGCTAATTTAGTATGTGTTTTATTTTATTTTATCTTTTCCCTTTTTCATACTTACATAATTCTATTTCTTTGCTTTTTGTTGTTCAGCTTGTGCTATGCATAACTTAGATTAGGAGCGAGTCCAATATTTGTTTATGGCTATCAGATAAAATCATCTAAATATGTAGTCTATAAGTATTACTGGTTATTTGTCTTGTATTGAAGCAGGAAATATTATATTTATCTGTAAATTTTAATAATTTTATTCAATTATCTTATATATGTCACAGTATTTTAAAAAATAAATTATTTTTATTATATTGGATTCGACATGCATATATTGTATATAAAATATAACAAAATTACATGAGTTATCTGATTAATGTGACAATAGTTCGTTAAAAAATGAGGAGTTTATTTGGTTCATATTTAAGATATATATTATCCATCCCTANCTAAACAACCGTGTATCACGGGTAGTTTTTGAAAAATTTATACTCAAATTTATAAAAAAGTGAGAGAGAAAGAAGTCTTTGTTTAAAATTTAAATATCTATATTTATATAATAAAAATTAACATTTATTCAAAATAGTAGGTCAAATTATTATCAATGTCGGAGTTACATTAAATATTTTCCAAAACTGATAAGTTTTTGTCCTTTTCATACTTCTCATTAATTATCTCCTTTTCACACTTCTCATTAATTATGTCATTTTCACACTTCTCATTAATTATGTCATTTTCACACATCTAATTAATTTATTAATTACGACATAATTATCATAAATCATTCCATCTGAGCTTTTATCGTTAAAATATATAGCGATCTGTTATGACCTTATCCCATTGATATTTTCATGAAGCATCCTTATCGCGTTCTATTTTTTGGTAACCATTCTATATCAATAACCAGATATTTGGTTAATGACAGCACACGTCTTTATTTCAAGGAGTGGATATTCTTTGACCTTTAATTAATCTGAACTGATTGTCTTGACTTTTCAATTTTTTAAAACTCTTTTTTTAAATATTTCGGCTTAAGATTCGGATTTCATTATACAAGTCATCGGATTGTTTGAATGAAAATGAATGAAAAGAACTCCAAAAACAGGTAGCCTTATTCATATAACAAATCCTAAAATATTAGTTTATTCACTAAAAAGAGACAAATCCTAGAAATCCTAAAATATTAGTTTGTTCACCAATCCTAAAATATTAGTTTGTTCACCAAAAATATTAGTTTGATTTTTATGATTTGTCTCTTTTGAAAATATTAGTTTGTGATAATGAGGAGTTACTAAATAATCAAACTCATAATGTTGTGTACAAGGAGGTTTTTAATAATATATGATTGTTACCGAATTTTTTATGATTCAACAATGTTCTTATGTATTTTAATGATTTCAATTTCGATCCTAATGCACGTGAGTATATATTATTCTTCCAAATTTTACATCCCGTGCATCGCACGGGTTACAGACTAGTTTTTTAAGAATTTAAATTATAATAATTTAAACCGATGGTAGTCAATTGTACGGGTAATATATACGTCTTATATTATAATAGTTTCTCTAGTCACATATAGTAACTGCACAAATAAATATAGTCAATTTAAAAAAAATTATTATTTTTTTAATAATAATTGATAAATTATTTTCAATCGAAAGATATATATAATTATTTATTTTATATATACGACAAGATGATTAATTTGATATATTGTATATGAAAACCGAGAGGCGCAATTATAAAATTTATTAAAATAAAATTATAATTTAAGTTAATCAATTATTTTATAATTTTAAAATTTTTAAGTTCTACATTAATGTATAAAGAGGAATTTTGTTGTTCATATGACTGATGCATGTGTGGACTGGATTACGTATTTGTAAATACCAACAAAAGATTCCCAAAAGTTATTTTCTTTTATCAAAATTTTGTTTTATTCAATTATATGAATAATAAGTGTACAATAGTAACATTATTATGCTACATAATGTATTGAATAGAGTGAAATGACGAATTAAGATAAAATGGGAGATGTTACGTGATGGAGATGAACATAAGCATGATATTCGAGATCTTTAATATAATTATTATTTTTATTTATTGTTAGTATTTTAGTCCTACATTTTTTAGTGAGGTTATTAAATTATTTTAGTCTTTTATTTGATATGAAAAATATTTAATTATAATTTACTTGTTAGAAAAAATTAGTGCTTTTTAGGAGTTCTATTTAAAGACTCATATTAATAAAGATATTTGAGTCTAGGAGTGGACAAGAAAACCAAATTTTCCTGTACCGAACTAGACCGACATGGTCCCGTTCCGAAAAATAGGGTTCCAAACGATTTTTTTAATTTTTCATTCCTAGTAACGAACCGTTTGAAACAATGTCGGTATCGATTTTGAATATTTTTGTCCCGAACCGTCCCGTTTGTCCCGTTTTATTTCTTTCATACAAAAATATAATATATATATATATCTATATCTATATGTATATAATATACATTATTATTATATTTATGTTAGTATTATAGTAACTTTAAAAATAGTTTTTTAGCTTCTTGCATCTTGCTTCAGTTCAGTTCAGGCTTAAGTCAATGGTGAATTTAGATACTAGATGTTCAAGTAAATCATATCAGTAGGGAATCAGAATGTATTTGGTGCATGTGAACTTTATAGTATGTTGTTTTAATGTATTTGGTTTAAGACTTTAAGTGAATGTTGCAACTTGATTGCTTTGCTTGTATGGAATCAGACAATCAGTATGGTTTAACATTTTAAGTGAATCATATNGTTTCGGTCTCGGTTGATAACGATCCATTTGGGACGGTGTCTCGTCCCGGACCGGTTCATAAAAATGGGACATGTACCGTGATAGGTCAAATTCCAGACTGTCCCGGATCGCGCCCACACCTATTTGAGTTTTTCTCTTATTATATCTCTTTCGTTACGTCAGTTAATATAAGCAGACCAGTACGATTCCTACACGATGCCGACGACAGGCGCAACGCCCTCATAGAGACGTTGGGACGTTAACACAAGGCGTTCGGACGCCAAGTCGCAGATCAGGTTGATCCAGCCGCAGGACTCGAGGACATCCGATTGGCTCTACGTACCGGTTTTCATGGCAAGCAAATAAATCGCGCGCCAGACGGAGGATGTGGCGGCCTCGGGGGAATGAATGGTGGACGCAGTCGGGGCATACACAAGGCGCCCTGCTCTCGATCGTCTCAATCGTTTATAGTGGCGGTGAATTTGACGTCACCATATTCGAGATACGTCCTTTTGGTAATATGGCGGTACAGTACGAGGACTACTTCTTTGACGATCAGCGATGTGAGGCTTGATCTGGTCAAGATCTCATAATTCTTCGGCGGCTTGGAAGCCGCCATGTTCCTGGGTGACTAGGGGCCGGCCAAATATGAAGGTCCACCTCATTTTTATGACAAGTGGTCGACCGCATATGAAGGTCCGCCTCTTTTAATGTCGAAAGGTCTGCCTCTTTTTAATGTCGAGGAAATTAACTACACCAAGGAAGCTGCTAACGTTGAGCATTTTGCTAATAATTTCAACAATATAGATTATGTGCAAGTTCCAACCATATATTGGGAATCCACAACCCCACATGTTCTTGTGATTGAATATGTTCCTAATATCAAATTAATAGGATGGAGGTTGTGGATCAGTTGGGCGTTGACTGGAAGAGGTTGAGTTGATATGCTATAGAGACGATATAGTGTTGGATTCGAGGGCGAATCATTTCTGAGAGAGGGAGAATGATGGAGATGAGGACAACCATGATCTTTGAAATCTTTCATTTAAGTATTCATTGTATTTATTGTTAGTATTTTAATTTTAAATTTGTTAGTCTAGTCTTTTATTTGGGTAAATAATAATTTGCAACTTGTACAATATGCGAATTTGGGGTTTGCAACCTAAAGAATTTTTTGTACTAAAATGCAACCTTTAATACACGATTTGTCTATATCGCAATCTCCGACCGTCGGAGGTCCATTTTTCACGGGAAAAGCAAGCATGCCACACACACGTACCGAATTTGAGGGCAAAACTGTCATTTTATCTCTCTTCATCCTTTCTCTTTCATCCTCTCTCTCTCACACTCTCTCCAGGCCGCCATAGTACCTCTCCTCCTCCTCCCTTTCACGGCGGCTGTACTCCGACGGTGGCCTAATCACCTGAAGTCCCTCATCACCCGTCACAATATGGCCCCTCTCATCGTTTTTCCCCTGAAGCTTCCTTGCAGTCTCCTCGCTCACCTTGAAAACCTCTGCAATAGTCTCTATACCGAAACCCCTGAAAACATTCCCCACATGTGGGCGGCCTTGTCCTATGTGCTGTTCTTGCTGTTGTCCTCTTGTCGGATTTCTGGCCAAGAAAAACGACTGCAAATTCGAGTGATTAGTAAATTAATATATCTTTTTTTTTTTTTAATTCTGAAAAATTGAAAATCGATCTCGAATTAGTAATTACTCTTGGGTTTTGATCGAGCTGGTTTGCATTGTTGCCATTGTCGTGAAAAACGACGAGCACGAGCTCTTCATTTCTGATGAGTCTACCCTCAGATCTGGAGTGAACCAGTGATAAGGAGCTCAGATCTGTTTGAACCAGTGACGGGTGATGAGTTTGTTGTTCTTTTTTCGACACCGTGGTTCTTCTTTAATGTCGTTATTCGACTCATCCCTGCTACTTTTTTCCAATCTGGGTTATGATTTATCCTTTACTCCGTTGCCTGTAGCTGGTCTCATCATCTCATTGGGCGGTTGTAACATCTCATGATTGTCTTCTGGATAAGTCTGACACCATGACGTCTTTTCAAATTTCAAAATTTGAATCTGGACACGTCGCGTCGCTTCAGCTCTGCCGCTAAAATTCCGCGCCTTGTCCGAACCATCCGATCTTTATTTGATCCAAGGGTCAAGGTTCATTTTCCTTCTGCATAAATAACCTCCCCTTTAGACCTAAATCACTTTCCTCATCCTTTCAAACTCTCGCTCTCTAAACTTTCGAGCTTTACCGGCGATCAGAGCGTTTGCAAGTCTCACCGGCGTTCAGTTTTTCGGCGATCACCAGGTTCTTAAAGCCATCATGTGAGAGTTTATTTTATTTTTATTTTTTTTCACTTTCCCTCTGTTTTGGTTTCCTGCAAATTTTCTGTTTTTTCTGGGTTTTCCAATTTCGAAGTTTATAGATGTTCTTCGTGTTCTTCGGACTTCTTGTATGGGTTTTGCATCAAATCTTTTTTGTTTGGATTTCCCTTTGGATTTCTTGTTTGTCTGGCTCGCCGAGTTGTTATGGAGCCGTTTTACACATCCCTCTTTGAGTCGATTTCCGTCATCTTTCCTTTCTCAATTTTCTTAAGTCACTTTCGACTTAGTCTTCTCGACATTAATCGTGTCTTTCTCCTATTCGGATTGGGGGGAGTCGTGTCGACTAGTTCATTTGATAGGGTACGTCAACCGTAGTTCACGTTTACTGACCTCGACTTTTCCTTTTCGATATTTCTAGCTTCCACTTCCGACTCCTCTCCCAATAGCATCGAGTGCTTAATTGATGAGGGTGCTCAGTCCTCCGACTCAGTTCAAGTGGTCGGGTTTAAGTTGGTCGACAAGCCACAAAATTCTCATGACTCGATCGCGTCTTCCTTCGGTATCGACTGGGATGCGTATAATCAGGCCTGGATGTTGGGTGTTTTAATGGAGGATCCAGAGTCTTTACAAGCTAGAGCATCTCCTCATCTCGACCTCATTCCCTGAGGTATTCCCCTTAGGTTTTTAGATGTACCTGTGTATAGAACTAGTCCTTCTTCCTTACCAATAATTTCTCCTCTCTTCGAGGCTCAAAATGTTGTATCTGTAGTATGTCCGTTGGCTAATTTAGCTGTTTTAAATCCTTTTTGCTATGCCTCTGCAGCCGAGGTCGAGGGTTTTAAAGTGTTTAGTGGGCTTCCCTCTGACTGGAAATTGGTCGTTCCCGGCCCTAATGACGACTTCGCTAGTCCTCCCCCTGGCTATTACGCCTTTTTCATCGACCAAGTGGTGTTCGGTCTTCGCTTTCCGATCCAGCCTGAACTCTTGGCGATCAGAGACTTGTATAATGACCAATAAATCAATTTTCCCCTAACGCAATCCGCATTATGATTGCCTTCATCGTTGTTTCCAGAATAAAGCTCTGATACTTCTCTCCCAAATTTATTTTTTATTGCTACAGCTATAGATTCATAAAAGACACCCATTGTCTGGGTCGTCGCACTGGTGTCACGTTTCTTGAAGACCTTTCCTCGAATGTGACCCGATGAAAATCAAAATTTGTTTTTATCCGTCCTGCTCCTGGTAAATACCCTTACCCTAACGAGTGGATCACATCGAAAGTGAAACAAGATAAACGACCACGATCTGATGAGTTCGCGTCGATGCTAACTGAGCTTAATAAACATAATTATAAAGCTCGTCTGCTGATCAAGGAAAGCTCTCTCCTTAATCATGTTGGCCATGTTGTCGACGATGACCTTCCTCGTCTTGACGACCCTCGTAAGTTTGTCTGTGTTCCTTTATCGTTTTTAATAGGTAGCTTATGTTTCTCGATATCCCCGCCTTATTTAAATCGTTTATTTTCTCTTGTTGTAGATTCCGTTTTGGCTCGATTTGAGAATGTGAAAGCAAAGGCCGACAAAAAATCCGCTGGTCCAGCTCCTTCCCCGAAAAAGCCCGATGGCCGTTCGGGATCGAGTGCAAAGGGGGCAGCGGTTGAGACGACTGCTGCCAGAAACTCGAAGGTTGTGCTCCCGTGCCCAGGAAAACATCAGAAAGCTTCAGGCTCTCATTCTCGGAAACGGGCTCAAGACGAGGTTGACTTTAACTTGGTCCCTGCTTCGCTCAAACGTCCGAAAAATAAGGATAAGGGCAAGGCCGTTGAACAAGCTCCTCCTCCTCCTGCCCCTGGTGGCCTCGAGAAAGTCACTCTCGAGAGGTCCGCTCGACTCTGGGATCATCCCTATCCTCACGAGATTGCCAAGTACCTCGACTCCGTTATTCCTGCTGCTGATAAGGCACACGCTAACCGTGACCCTCATGACTGTGCTGGCCGTGCTCTTCTCTGTTTTTCTCGGGTATTTATCTTCGATTTTGCTAAATCAATTTTTGCTTCCTTGGTTCTAACTCGTTATTTTTCTTTTAGTTTATGGCGTACATGATGCCCACTCTCCTCGAGGAGTCTAGCTCGTCTGACTCAAATATCCATGCTTACAAGAAAAAGTGTGAGGACCAGGCTTTCCAGCTCGAGAAAAAAGATGACGACCTTGCAGCGGCTAATGCTCTCGTTGCGAAGCTGAAGATCGAGAAAGCCTCTTCTCTCTCGAAGGTCGACCAGCTCCGGGCCGACTTAGAGAAGGCTGCCGACGATGCCATGGTCGAGAGAGAGGTGGGGATCCTCGAGGGATGTAGGACCTTTCTTAAGTCGCCCATGGGTTCTGTGTTCCTCGAGCACTATCGTCGAGAAGCTGCCAATCTCTTCTTCAACTCTCCGGCCTTTTGTCGACAAGCTCCGTCCTACAACTCTCCAGTACTTCAACCACACGTACGACGCGTGGGAGAAGGCCATGGAGAAGACTGAGTTCGCGGGCAAGCTCAACCGCGAGGCAGTTAAGAAGACTCTGCCTTTCCGTGCCGGCTATAGGGGCGACACGACTCTCCCAGCAGACCACCCGTGGTGGGTCGGCCTCGAGGCAAGGGCCATTCGTAAGGCCAGGTTGGATGGTCGGCTCGAGGTTCCCCCCGCTCCTTTGGCTGGTCTGACCAAACTAGTCGGGCCAAATGAGGCGGATCATGTGGGGTCCTCTAATGTTGAGGAAAATGAAGAGTCGGTCGGGGCAAAAGAGGTCGAGGAGGTGGAGCAGGAGGGAGTTATCCATGCTGATGGTAAGAAGACAGCTGATGAGGCTAGTGGTGATGATGTTGAGAAGACTCAGACTATTGCTGCTAACGAGGGTGGTGAAGAAGAGAAGTCTGATGTCGAGTCATGAAGTTTGTGTTGTTTCTCATGTTTCGAAAAAAATAGCTAGTGGTTTCTGTTGTCTCGGCTCATTTTCAAGATTTGTAAGGGCCGAGACGACTCAGAATGTAATGAATCTTTCTATCAATATCATTTTCTTTCGTTGTTTGTCTTGTTGTCCTACTCTGTTTGTTTTTAATTTTTCGAGATTCTATGTTATTCGCATTTCAAGCTGTCTTGCTGTTATTTTCGTGTATCCTCTCCGAACCCTTCTTGCGAGCTGGTCGAAGTCGAGCAACGACTTTAGCAGTTTCGTAGCTGATAAACATAAGTTTTTCAACTAGTCCTCTCCCAACCCTTCTTGCGGACTGGTCGAAGTCGAGCAACGATTTTAGCAGCTTTGTAGCTGATAAACATAAGTTTTTCAACTCGTCCTCTCCCAACCCTTCTCGTGGGCTGGTCGAAGTCGAGCAACAACTTTAGCAGCTTTGTAGCTGATAAAAAAAATTTTTTCAACTCGTCTTCTCCCCAACCCTTCTTACGAGCTAGTCAAAGTCGAACAACGACTTTAGCAGCTTTATAGCTGATAAACATAAAAGTTTTTCAACTCGTCTTCTCCCCAACCCTTCTTGCGAGCTGGACGAAGTTGAGCAGCGATTTTAGCAGCTTTGTAGCTAATAAACATAAGTTTTTCAACTCGTCCTCTCCCAACCCTTCTCGCGGGCTGGTCGAAGTTGAGCAACGACTTTAGCAGCTTCGTAGCTGATAAACATAAAAGTTTTTCAACTCGTCTTCTCCCCAACCCTTCTTGCAAGCTAGTCGAAGTCGAGCAGCGATTTTAGCAGCTTCGTAGCTGATAAACATAAGTTCTTCAACTTGTCCTCTCCCAACCCTTCTCGCGGGCTGGTCGAAGTCGAGCGATGATTCTTACATTTTTTGTTGGTATTTTAAAGTAGTTTGCCTAACGCATGAGATTCCATTTGAATGTTAATCGACTTCGTAGGCGGAGGCTTTGTAGAGATTCTGCTCGAGAATTACAACTTCGTAGTTGTGTTTAGTCGACTGCATAGTCGAAGGCTTCGTAGCCTGCTCGAGATTTCACTCAAGCGTTTACAACTTCGTAGTTGTGTTAGTCGACTTCGTAGTCGAAGGCTTCGTAGCCTGCTCGAGAGTCCACTCGAGAGTTTACAACTTCGTAGTTGTGTTAGTCGACTTAGTAGTCGAGCCTTCGTAGCCTGCTCGAGAGTTCACTCGAGAGTTAACAACTTCGTAGTTGTGTTAGTCGACTTCGTAGTCGTTAGAATAGATTGGCTCCATAGCCGTTTTGAAAAGTTCAATTTTTCAGACAATCATAATAAGATTGATGCGTAACTGTAAGAGATAATTTGAAGCATAAACATGAAATTCATTTCATTACTGAATTTGATTTGAACATTGTTCAGTACAAAAGGTAGTTTGAAACGTTTCCTTAAGCATAAAAGCGTTTGAGATGGATCACATGCCAGGATCGTGGAAGCTGTCGACCCTCGCGGTCCTCGAGTTCGTATGCGCCCCTCTCGAGCATCTTCGTGACAGTGTAGGGTCCTTCCCAATTAGCCTCGAGCTTCCCGACATGCTTGAGAGCATCAGCTCTTTTGAGGACGAGTTATCCAACTTGAAAACGTCTGGTTTGGACCTTCTTGTCAAATGCTGCGCGCAGGTTTTGTTTGTATTCAATGGATCGCATACACGCTTCCTCTCGTCCTTCTTCAATTAGGTCGAGGGCCTCCTCGATCATCTCCTCATTTTTCTTTTCTTCATAGAACGTCGATCTGTGGGAGTCCAAACCGACTTCTACTGGCAGATGCACATCCACTCCATAGACCATGTGAAACCGAGATTGTCCTGTCGAGCTTCTTGGAGTCGACCTATAAGCCCATAGGACTGTTGTCAACTCGAAGACTCAGGCTCCTGACGCTTTCTCCAATCTTTTCTTCAGCCCTTGGAGGATAGTTCGATTGGTTACCTCGACTTGCCCGTTCGCCTGTGGGTGTGCGACTGAAGCAAATCGTTGTTTAATTCACATGTCGAGGCACCAAGCTTGGATCCGCTTTCCCTGGAATTGAGTTCCGTTATCCGAGATCAGCACCTTTGGAATTCCGAATTGACAGCAGATGTTGTTGAATAAGAATTGGATCATTTTTCTTTCAGTAATTCGGGCTAAAGGCTCTGCTTCAACCCACTTGCTAAAATAGTCGACTGCGACTACCAAGAATTTTCTCTTTCCCGTCCCCATCGGCAACGGGCTTACCAAATCGATCCCCCACTGAGCAAAGGGAACTGGGGAGCTGATTGTCGTCATGTATTCAGCTGGAATATGGGTGACTTGGCCGTGTCGCTGACATTTATCGCATTCTCGCACAAGTTTTTCCGCCATCGCGCGCACTTTAGGCCAATAATATCCTGCTCGCAGGGCTTTACCAATTAGAGCTCGAGATCCTACATGTGCTCCACAACATCCTTTATGTATTTCCCTCAGAACATGGATTCCTTCTTCCTCAGACGCACATT